TATATATATATATATATATATATATATATATATATATATATATATATATATATATATATATATATATATATATATATATATATATATATATATATATATATATATATATATATATATATATATATATATATATATATATATATATATATATATATATATATATATATATATATATATATATATATATATATATATATATATATATATATATATATATATATATATATATATATATATATATATATATATATATATATATATATATATATATATATATATATATATATATATATATATATATATATATATATATATATATATATATATATATATATATATATATATATATATATATATATATATATATATATATATATATATATATATATATATATATATATATATATATATATATATATATATATATATATATATATATATATATATATATATATATATATATATATATATATATATATATATATATATATATATATATATATATATATATATATATATATATATATATATATATATATATATATATATATATATATATATATATATATATATATATATATATATATATATATATATATATATATATATATATATATATATATATATATATATATATATATATATATATATATATATATATATATATATATATATATATATATATATATATATATATATATATATATATATATATATATATATATATATATATATATATATATATATATATATATATATATATATATATATATATATATATATATATATATATATATATATATATATATATATATATATATATATATATATATATATATATATATATATATATATATATATATATATATATATATATATATATATATATATATATATATATATATATATATATATATATATATATATATATATATATATATATATATATATATATATATATATATATATATATATATATATATATATATATATATATATATATATATATATATATATATATATATATATATATATATATATATATATATATATATATATATATATATATATATATATATATATATATATATATATATATATATATATATATATATATATATATATATATATATATATATATATATATATATATATATATATATATATATATATATATATATATATATATATATATATATATATATATATATATATATATATATATATATATATATATATATATATATATATATATATATATATATATATATATATATATATATATATATATATATATATATATATATATATATATATATATATATATATATATATATATATATATATATATATATATATATATATATATATATATATATATATATATATATATATATATATATATATATATATATATATATATATATATATATATATATATATATATATATATATATATATATATATATATATATATATATATATATATATATATATATATATATATATATATATATATATATATATATATATATATATATATATATATATATATATATATATATATATATATATATATATATATATATATATATATATATATATATATATATATATATATATATATATATATATATATATATATATATATATATATATATATATATATATATATATATATATATATATATATATATATATATATATATATATATATATATATATATATATATATATATATATATATATATATATATATATATATATATATATATATATATATATATATATATATATATATATATATATATATATATATATATATATATATATATATATATATATATATATATATATATATATATATATATATATATATATATATATATATATATATATATATATATATATATATATATATATATATATATATATATATATATATATATATATATATATATATATATATATATATATATATATATATATATATATATATATATATATATATATATATATATATATATATATATATATATATATATATATATATATATATATATATATATATATATATATATATATATATATATATATATATATATATATATATATATATATATATATATATATATATATATATATATATATATATATATATATATATATATATATATATATATATATATATATATATATATATATATATATATATATATATATATATATATATATATATATATATATATATATATATATATATATATATATATATATATATATATATATATATATATATATATATATATATATATATATATATATATATATATATATATATATATATATATATATATATATATATATATATATATATATATATATATATATATATATATATATATATATATATATATATATATATATATATATATATATATATATATATATATATATATATATATATATATATATATATATATATATATATATATATATATATATATATATATATATATATATATATATATATATATATATATATATATATATATATATATATATATATATATATATATATATATATATATATATATATATATATATATATATATATATATATATATATATATATATATATATATATATATATATATATATATATATATATATATATATATATATATATATATATATATATATATATATATATATATATATATATATATATATATATATATATATATATATATATATATATATATATATATATATATATATATATATATATATATATATATATATATATATATATATATATATATATATATATATATATATATATATATATATATATATATATATATATATATATATATATATATATATATATATATATATATATATATATATATATATATATATATATATATATATATATATATATATATATATATATATATATATATATATATATATATATATATATATATATATATATATATATATATATATATATATATATATATATATATATATATATATATATATATATATATATATATATATATATATATATATATATATATATATATATATATATATATATATATATATATATATATATATATATATATATATATATATATATATATATATATATATATATATATATATATATATATATATATATATATATATATATATATATATATATATATATATATATATATATATATATATATATATATATATATATATATATATATATATATATATATATATATATATATATATATATATATATATATATATATATATATATATATATATATATATATATATATATATATATATATATATATATATATATATATATATATATATATATATATATATATATATATATATATATATATATATATATATATATATATATATATATATATATATATATATATATATATATATATATATATATATATATATATATATATATATATATATATATATATATATATATATATATATATATATATATATATATATATATATATATATATATATATATATATATATATATATATATATATATATATATATATATATATATATATATATATATATATATATATATATATATATATATATATATATATATATATATATATATATATATATATATATATATATATATATATATATATATATATATATATATATATATATATATATATATATATATATATATATATATATATATATATATATATATATATATATATATATATATATATATATATATATATATATATATATATATATATATATATATATATATATATATATATATATATATATATATATATATATATATATATATATATATATATATATATATATATATATATATATATATATATATATATATATATATATATATATATATATATATATATATATATATATATATATATATATATATATATATATATATATATATATATATATATATATATATATATATATATATATATATATATATATATATATATATATATATATATATATATATATATATATATATATATATATATATATATATATATATATATATATATATATATATATATATATATATATATATATATATATATATATATATATATATATATATATATATATATATATATATATATATATATATATATATATATATATATATATATATATATATATATATATATATATATATATATATATATATATATATATATATATATATATATATATATATATATATATATATATATATATATATATATATATATATATATATATATATATATATATATATATATATATATATATATATATATATATATATATATATATATATATATATATATATATATATATATATATATATATATATATATATATATATATATATATATATATATATATATATATATATATATATATATATATATATATATATATATATATATATATATATATATATATATATATATATATATATATATATATATATATATATATATATATATATATATATATATATATATATATATATATATATATATATATATATATATATATATATATATATATATATATATATATATATATATATATATATATATATATATATATATATATATATATATATATATATATATATATATATATATATATATATATATATACACCCACACAGTGTGCCTCCTTGCGTACACGCGTCGGCGAACAATTGATCTTTGTATACTTGCTCACACCAACGGAGTTTTCAATCACGTTACGCGTGAGACGTGAAAGTATATACCCATCGTGTTTTCTCTTTATCCCCCGATTCGCAGTCTCGCCTCTTTTTTTTCTTTGTGAGTTGTAAAATAAAAAAAGTTGGCACAGGAGCAGCAAAACTGCAGAGAAAAAAAGAAAGAAAGAAAAAAAAAAAATAAAAAAAAAAAAATAAAGAAATGACAACGCGAACGCGATACACGACGCCTCGGGTGCAGTCGCCCGTAAAAGCCGTGAAAAGTTCGTGGATACTCGAAAACAGATCAGCCGCTACAACGACGCCCACGCGCAACAGCAACAACGACACCACGAGCCTCGCCAGTCTGGTAAATAAATTATACACGTGTACACTTGATCATTCCAAAGACACGGGTGAGAAAAGCTATACATGGTATATGTATATAGTCACACCATTGAATCCCTCCGCGATTAAGACTCTAGTTTCGTACGTCGCCGCACTGACACCGATCACCATATTTGTGCGTATGAGACGCGCTGATGAGACATACATGTACATCATGAGGAGCCTTCGAGGTACACCTATATACGTATATACCAGTGATGCGGTAGCCGACTAGATATTCGTTTTCCTTGACAATCGGCTGATGTGCTCCTCTTCGTTCCTGGAATACATTTTCATATACGATCAAAGAGCGCGCGAATGCCCTCTTTTTCCTCCGTTAAATTATTCAGTGTCGAGCATAAGTACGATTACAATGTATACAACATACACATCTTTTATTTGACAATAAAAATTCGATACGATGTTGTTGATTGGCGATTCGACTCCTTCCTGCATCATATCGTATTCATATTACGATATAGTTAGGAATAATGCTACACCATATATTATAAAGCCAGACGTGTGCGTCTAATCGTATACTATATGTATTTATAGATGACAATGTATACTTGCTTGGCGCATTTATATATATATATATATATATATATGTGGCGTAAGCAAGCTGTCGTCGAATTTGTCCGTCTTGTGTAACCGGAAGATAATCGCGATCTCGCCGAACATTATACAAAGAGAGAGAGAGAGAGAGAGAGGGTCATTATGGATTTATCGTTTGTTGTTTTACGCAACGTTGGTTCCCCGATCGCTCGCGACGCGCCTCATTTTTTTGTTTGGCTCGTCATTAAACGATCCTTCGAATCGCATACGGCGCGCGCTCGTCATTTTCAAATTAAGGAGCGCGTCTATACGGTACACCTATCAATAGAAAATTACTCATTAAAATTTAAATTCAAAACCGTGAGAGATTGGTTGTTTTTTTTTTTTTTTTTTTTTTTTCGATTCACCGTACTCCGAGGACAGCTTTTACAAAAGAGTCGGAGAAAGAGAGAGAGAGGGAGAGATAAATGAGTATATAGAGGCTCGGGACAGCAGCGGTGCTTGCACCGGTGGCTCTATGTAGGTTGCCCGTACAGAAATCGATGTACAAGTACTCTCTCTCTCTCTTTTCCTCTTTCCAGGTGTAAGTATATGTACTACTTGCCCGGTGCGCCGTGCAAGCTCCTCTTCCCGGTATACTTTGCCGTACGTAATATGGTATTCGCCCGCCAGAGCTTGCCCGGAACGGTTATAGGTGTATACGATAGCAAACCGATTTCGCACGATCGCCCCCCGCCCCCCCGGGATATCGTTATGCTGAAGGAAAAAACAGCCATTAGGCAACAACAGCCACCCAATCGCCGAGTTGTGTTACAGGCGCGCTTCCAGCAGAAGCAGCTGCAAGAAAAGGAACAGAGGCTCCTCCAGCTGTACGACCAGCAGCAACAGCGCGCCCACCAGGTAGCGCAGAGGGGCATTACTGGCTCCCTCGACGACGTCAACGCCCCCACCACTAAGGTACACGTGTGTCAATTATAACTCTTTTTTGGTGTCCACACACCCCCCCCCCCTCAAATAAATTTATTAATCCGAGCGTATAACCGTGCGTCAGACGCGGCAGTTGTTCGCGGAGAAGACGCGCCATCGGAGCCGGGGAGGGGTCGGCAAGGGCATCGACAAGAGTTACCCGCTCGAGCCGCTCGGCGGTGGTAGACGCAACGGCGCGCTCCAGCCGGCCGGTGGCGTCAAGCCGGGCTTTAAAACCGCGAGGCCCGACGGACCGGCCGACAGTCGTCGACAGGAGGTACGGGAGAACGAGAACAACCAGCAGCAGCATCGCGTGTCCAGTGGAGCATCGGTGTACTTGGCCGGTGACGGCAACTCGTCCGTTGTTCGCAGTGGCAAGGAGTACGCCAAGGGAAACGGCGGTGCATCGATCGGCAACGGCCATCACCGTTACGAGGTCCGCATCACCTTGTTCTGTCACTCCTATTTTTCTTCTTTCTTTCGCTTCTTCTTCACCTTTGGTATATAATAATTATTCATGAGCGCATAATGTCCGTACCTCCGTCCGCCCACTTTATATACATATAGATCGATGCGCATGTTGTATATATGTATATATTACGTATACCACACCGTACGCGTCGCGGTGTAAATATATTATAAGTTCTTTGCGCGCTCGATTAAAACTTGCCATTAGTTGTTTCAAATGAACGAATTGAAGGAAAAAAAAAAAAAAAACAAAAAAACATACGTACAGATAAACATAGACGAGGTCATCGACGACGACGCAATGGAACGGAATCGCATGGTGGCCAGGTACAGTAGTAGTATCGATTCGGAGACGCGCCGGCAGTACAGCTACGAAGATACGGTGCATCGCTCGGGGAATGGCGTTTTGAGCGACGTGTCCAACGCTAACGTAGGACAGCGGGGAAAAAAACCATCAGCTCCGGCCAAACAGCCGATACCCAGTGACAGAAAGCAAAACGACGAATCCGTCGCGTGAGTACATTACATACTTACGTGGGTACTTTTGACCGCTTGGTTTTTTTTTTATTTTCATTGCTTCATCCGTGTACATAATATATTGTATGCCCATACATATATGGAATTTCGTAACTTTATTCGTGTTAAAAAAGAAAAAAAAAAAAAAAAAAATTCTAATTTTATTTTCCCACAATAATTTTTATTTCACGTTGAATTTTTTCTTTTACAATTCTAAAAAAAAAATTTTCCAACAAACAGATTTGAACCCTCGACCTCCTGCAAATAAGTCCAGTATCTTACCCACTCTGCTACGAGCGCTGCCCATTAGAGAACTCGGTTTCCTGTACTTATGGTGTCGTTCTGTATGGTGTATTTGTGTTTGAAAAAAAAAAAAAGGANAAAAAAAAATGCCCATCCAACTAACTGCATTGCCGATCGATTAATCGCATATATTCCTCATCTATACATCCCTCTATATTGTGTAACGTAAATATATAACATGTAAACGTATATTATAATTTTGTGGATTGCTCGAGGAGCTCTGGTATTTCAGCCGCAAAACAAACACATCAGCATCATCAATCTAATAGAATTAAAACTGTACATAATCGCATCTAACGAGTTATATAACGCTGTATACTGCAGTGAGTGATTAATACCGATGTCAAACATTTCAACCCGAGGTATAACATTGACGCGTGTGATAATGGATCTAGATTGAAACGAAAGTACATGCAAGTGCTGGATATAACAAAAGCTGCCAATTAAATCATGAATAGAGAGAAAAACTGTTATTAACCGCTTGATTGGGCGTGAATTTTTAATTCCAATAACACTGTATATCCCGAATCTGGAGTGCGTCGGGGAAGTAACCGCGTGTAAGTGAGTACAGCGCGCCATGGAGACGTGCTCCGAGGGTCTCGGGTGACGCTTGAATTTGTATACCTGCACAACAGGCAGTCGAGCTTCACGAAGACAACGGAGAGCTCGAGCCAGTCGCCGCGACGAGGGGACGAAAAAATATTCTTCGAGGGCGCGAGCACGGCTCTGCACAGGGAGAGGACAAAGAGCCCGTTGCCCGAAAACAAGATTTACGAGCCAGTTCGGCAGCCGAGTCCACCGAGTTGGGACGAGAGAGCCACCGACCCGGGCCAAGGCGTCAGGGCCGTCGTTATGAAGATAGAGAGCACCGCGTCCGAGATACTGATCGGCCGAAGCGTGATCGAGAGGAGGAGAGCGACGACCGACGAGGGCGCCACGAGGTCGATCCGACTCAGCCAAGAGTCGAGCAGCACCGATGATGGTTACAGGCGCGCGACCCTCGCGTCCACCACCGATAGCGCGGCGCCCGTCCGGAGCCAAGTGCCCGGAGAACAACCACCCAAGGACCGCCACTTTGTCAGCCTCGCGGATTTGAAGATACAGGGCCGATCGCTGTCCGAGAGCCCGAAAAGGACGTTTTTCCCGCTGGACGAGCTGACCCTGGCCCGGCGGGCTTCGTTCGAGTCGAAGCTTCGATTGTTCGAGCCCCTGTCGCCGCGTGAGAGCGCCGATCGGCAGACGAGAGAGAGATCCAAGTCCGTAGAGTCGAGCGTGGCGACGAGGTCGCCGAGCCCCTCCGGCAGCACTAGAGCTCGCAAGGTGTCCCAGGGAGAAGCAAGTCCCGAGTCGTGCGCCCGTACCGATCGGATCCCGGGTTTTCAGAGGAGCACCTGCTCCTCCCTGGCAAAGATCTCGAGCCCCGCTCGTGGGCAGGCCCCAACGGCGAAGGCCACCGTTAAAACTGTCATTGCTGCGCCCAAGTGTCTCAAAAAGAGACCGATGCTCGCGAAAACCGGTTCGAGTTACCGATCGGGCCTTGGCGCGCCGGTTAGAGGTAAAAGTAACGATGATGGTGATGTGGCGGCTAAAAAATCGAGTCTCCTGCGCGATCCCGGGGCGCGGTTCAAGAGCGTACACCACAAGAGTCACGATGAATTTTCCTGTAGCGCGAAAAAACGAGGGGATCCCGTTTCGAGGAGGGGCGTCCAGGCAAATGCGAGGACTTTGGAGGGCTCGATCAAGAAGAGCTTCAGCCTCTACACGCCTCTGAGAAACGCCGACAACAGTAGCGAGGTAACGCGTTGTACTATGTTTTTTTTTTTTTTTTTCTCTCTTATTTTTAATTGTATCGATGATTTGAATGTCGCGCGTGGGTGGCGATTGTTTTCCATGAATATTAACGCGATTGACGCCCGTAAACAGCAACAAAATCAGCAGCCGTCCTCGAGAAACTCGTCGAGCCTCAAGTTTTNCCATTACAGTCGTAACAAGCGAAACGATGAACAAAAAAAGAAGTTCACCCCCGAGCATTGTGTCCCTCACAAAAACACATTGTTAATCACAAAAGGCACATTGAATGCTAATGCCTTCGTTACATGCGCCCCGTGAGCTTATTATCATCGCTCTCTTATCTTCCTTCGCGTAGCGCAACCTTCCTTTGCCTTCGAACGCAACGAAAGTCCTCATTTCTGCGTAATAATCCTTTTGTTGCCCCAACGGCGCTGCCGTTGTTTAACGAGATCGAGATACGAGGAGGGAAATACACGGTAACGTCGCGTAGGTGTGGGTGTAAAAAAAAAATATATATATACATATAATTTAATTTTCGTTATCACGCTTGTTTATCTGGTTTAGAAAGGAAATAATTGATTTTAGGTGGACGTAAAGAAGCAAAAAGAATAAGGAGGACGTGAAAAATGGAAAAGAGTATAGGAAAGGGGGGGAAGGTGACAATCGGCGCGAATTTCGCGAGATGACTTTTGTCGACGGTGCGTTGATGTCGCGACTCCCACTTTTTTTTCCCCGCCGGAGTGAGAGAGAGAGAGAGAAAGAGCCTTTTTTGCGCAATAAAGGACGCTATGCCATCCGAACGCGTGCGTATATAAGGATACGTCGTGGTCTCGGCTAACTCAGAAAGTAACACCTTGTGCGTGCATGTGCATGTTACTACGATTTTATTGCCAGTGTTAACGACGTTGATTTAACGCTTCCACCGCAGGTGAGCTCTTGCATAAAAAAAAAAAAAAAAAATTTTAAATCCTTTTAATTGCAGTTTTTATTTTAAGTATTAGTTCATTTTTTTACAAAATATTTCAATAATGAACTTATACTAATGATAAAAATTCAGTATTATTCTTTGTCCATATGATCCAGATCGTAAAGTATTTTAAAGGAATAACAAGTGCTAATTATAGTCATTATTAGTGTAAAGTTGTATAAGATTTTGCTTCTCAAGCCGTTCTTTAAAAAAACCGGCACTCCGTCGTCTTTCTAATAAAAAAAAAAAAAAGTAAAAAGTTTTTCATTCATTTAATTCATGCTATTGAACTACAGAAATAAAAATTACCGTACCTGCATTTTGGCTTGTTTGAGTTTCAGTTTTTTTACAAAATCCGGTTTCTCTTCAAATAATTCATTTTCTTTAAACAAAATACCCTTGGAATGGAAATATCTGCGGTTCCGACTACCTAAATTTGCCTAAATGAAAATAGAGACGGCGGTTAAACAAAAAAATTCAAGGGAAGTAAGATCGACAATGACATGAAAAAAAATAGAAACACTAACTTGTCGTGAAAGTAATCCAATCGTGCGCAGATGATTCATGTTTCCACGTCACTCAGTCGTCTGATTTTTTAAAACTCTTTCAAGACAACGGGCCCTAAAAATGAGAGCAACGTAACCCAACGTAACGAAAACATTGAAGGAAAAATAAAACAAACGACGATAAACAGTTGACTTCAACTAACTTCGTTAGCTTCTTTCACTCGCAATTGAAGAAGAAAAGCTGAAAATGAATAATTGTAGGGGTAAAGTGTAAAATGCCTAAATAAGTACTGCGTACTCGGATTTAAAAACAGGATTTACTTTTTTTTAAACATATTTCTGAATACGCCTGAATGTAACTGAAATAGCTATAATTATTAATCACTTATATTTTCAGAAAATTAAAGGCATATTTTAATTCTAATAAATATTATTTAGTCAGAAATATAAAATTGACGGTTTTATGAAAACTTTTTCCACCAAAAAAAAACTTAATTTTCTTAGACACGATCTAAAAAATGATTCTTTTTGTATTAACAACACATCAATATTTTTCCTGTTAGCTCATTCGTCAATGAAATCTAAAATTTCAATAATCGCGCACACGTTCCATTGAGAAATATGTATTTCGTTGAATATTTGCAAAATTACAAAAAATGGTTCATGTACAACGATACATTAATCGTGTAATTTTAAGCGCAGTAATAAATGGAGATATAAGATTTTGTTACATGTAAAGAAGATTTATCAAATATTCGTATTTTTTATTATAAAAATTCGAGTGTTGGATTGATGATAGACAAATTATTCGCGTTGGATTGATGATATAAAAAAGCTTTAGTTAGACGTAGTTTTGCCTGAAATTAATAAAGCCGGACAAGAAAAAACTGCGCAGTACTTGGGCACTTAACCCTTACTGCTACTTACTCACTCATACGCAGTTTCAATGCAGAGCGAAAAATTACATCGTAAGACAATGAAAGGCGATTAACTTTACCAATTCCGAGTAGGCTGATATAATGTAATCAAAACAAACATTATACTTACTCACTTTTTGATTTCCCGAAAAACAAGGCGCGACTTGTTGATAGCAAATGCTGCAAACCGAAATCGATTTCAACAGCAACGCTCAGTGTTACCACAAACGGGCGATTTAATTTGGCAGCAGTGCTGTGAGGCAGGGTAGCTCTGGTGGGAACAACGGGGAGAGCAGTGGGGGTGCGCCAAATCACCGCTGCTGAACTACGTTTACAATACGTTACGGCGCTGAGGTCGCGTCATCGCGTGTCGTCGAGCAAAAGAACTGACGTCACACGCCGCATATACGTGTACAAACCACCGAGGATACACTTGCGTGTATACATATATATACACACATACAGCGTAATATATAATATCGTACGTGCGCTGAACTTGTGTGCATCATTTCTCTTTTTCTCGCAAGTCGCAAGAGTTTAATATGGGCGCCGTCTGGAAGAGAATAGCATCGGGCTGGCAGCTTGTTCGCTGCATCAGCTAAATCTGGTGGCGCGGCCGCGGCGTCGAGGCAGGGCAATAAGGTCGCCGTCGCCACCGCCGTCGCCACCGCCCATATCAACAATTCGCTTGCTGCTGCTGAGTCCGTTCAGGGTGGCCGAGGGGGAGGAGAAGGAGGAGGCGGCCGAGCAGAGCAGCAGCGCGCCGGGGACAAAGATGGCGGGTACGTTTTACACACCACACTCTGGGCTCTCTTTCCTCATCTCCGTACATATGCATTTGTAACTGGCATGATACCGCGATTTCGCCCCAGTTCCTCCTTGCGCATCAAAAACTCCGTTGGAGACGCTTTCTTTTCATCGTCTCGCTCTCATCGTTTCAGATTTGTACGCCAAGTACAACTGCACCTACTGCCAGGAGGACATATCTGGCCTCCGAGTCAAATGCGTCGAGTGCACGGACTTCGACCTCTGTCTGCAGGTGAGGCGAGATGGAAGGGAGACAGAGACAGACGATTTTACGCCTATAGTAAACTATACGTATATACATATACACCTATGTCTACTCACGTACTCACCCATTCGCTCCACTCATCGATGTCTCGATCTCATTTTTCTCCTCCGTCGTGAGACTAAATATATATAGTTGCGCTATCGCGACTCTCCCTCGATGCCCCCCCTCAACCGATCCCCACCTTCTGAGCCTGCCCCTCGTGTCGTCCGCGAACACGCTGTTCTAACGCACTGCATTTAAATACAACAGAAACGGTAATGGCGCCAAAACTCTGCAACGTACCTATAACTTGTAACGAGTGCATGAATACCACCATGAATCCCTATGGAAAAGTACATTTTCTATTCTCTAATTGATCAATAATCGGTTAATTTTTTATTTGTCATTATCTCTTTCTCAATTCATTTGTTTTCAACAGTGCTTCTCGGCTGGTGCTGAGATAGGGCAGCACAAAAATGACCATTCCTATCAATTCATGGTAAATATCATTCTAGCCGACGTTTTTTTTGTTAATCAAATTATTATTATTATTATTTTTTTTTTTACCTTAAACCGTGTTATTTCCCGTGTTGAAGGATTCTGGCACAATCAGCATTTTCAATGGCAGAGGAAACTGGACCGCCATGGAACATCTTAGATTACTTGATGCCATCGAACAATTTGGTTATGGAAATTGGGAGGATATTAGTAAACACATTGAAACTAGGTCACCGGAAGGTAAAAATTATTTCCAATAACTTATGCATATTCTGCTGATATTCTGTTCAATGTTCGGTTTTTGTACGATATTTACAGAGGCAAAGGATGAATACATCGCCAGGTATCTTGAGGGAAACATCGGAAAGTATACATGGCCACCAACAGATGCCTACACCCCGAATCTTAACGACCAAACAGAATCGGATCATGGTCCACTGTCACCCGACTTGACGTCGCGTCTCCCCCCTCTAGATATTACACCCGAAGAAGCTAGTCAGATTGGTTACATGCCACAGAGAGATGACTTTGAACACGATTATAACCATGAAGCCGAATCCCTCGTGTCATCGCTGTTTTTGAATCCAGCAGAAGATGACGATCTCGACATAGCTTTAAAACTTGCGCAAGTTGACATGTACACAAATAATATCCGAGAAAGAGCCAGGAGAAGACGAGTTGTAAGAGATTACCAGTTAGTTTCGGCCTTTTTTGCAGCTTCGCGCAAAGAAAAGTGTGTCAAGAAAAAACAGACTAAAGAAGAAAAGTAAGAGTTCATTTTAACTATTCAAAGATTCAAGCTATCTTTTTTTTTTTAGATTCATACTATCTTTTTTTTTTCCAACAAATGATAAACAACCAACATTTATTTGATTACAGAGACTTCAGAGAACGCATGCGAGTTTTTGCTCAGTTCTACACTGCCCAAGAATATGAACAGTTTTTAACTAATCTTGAAAAAGAGCGAGAATTGCGATTACGACTTTCAGAATTGTTCCGCTACCGTGAAAATGGTATCACAAAACACGAAGAGTGTTCCCATTTTGAACAAGTCCTAGCTCAAGCTCAAGGCCAAACAGATGTAGATCACTGGTCGGATAAAAAATCTGTAAGTAGTTCTCCACTTTTTTCGTTTTCGAATGCTCATTGTTTCCCTTACCAAAGCATATCCATCATATGTTAACTTTGCTGTTAGAGTGTAGATGATAAATTTTATTTCATTCGAGTTCAAAATAGCTGGAAACATTGTAGCAATTGTTGCATGCGTTAATTATTATTATTTTTTTTTCTTTCAATGAATCGCGCTCATTATTTAGAGTCTGTGTAGAGCAAACTTTTTTTACTCGTCAGTCTACAATTATGAAAATAAAAACTATTACAATTTTTACACATCACTATCAATAAAAGCTGGCAATATACGCAACTATCAAAAACTAAACTGATAAGGAGAAATCTTTTTCCATCGATTGAGTAGCAAATTTGTTTGCATAATAAAAAAAGAAGCATTTGCTTTAGCTTTGTTATAAACTAATACAATTTTTTGTGGTGCGTGTTGTCAGGCATTTGTGAACAGATTGTATCAGTTTGCATTTCACTTAGGGCAGCAGTGGGTCATCCAAAACAATCCTCCGCCAAACCTCAAGAAGAAGGTGAGTTACTTATATTGAATTGGCGATGATTATTAAATCATCCCACTTATAAATCAAATTTTTTTTTTATTTCGAATTTGTTTAGCTTAAAAAAAAATTTTGGCTTCAAATTTTTCGATATTAATTAGTTTTTGCATGAAAGCATTATCCAGAGACAATAATAGTTGCTGAATTTTATGGTAAAGTAGAATCAACATCAAGAGAAACGATTACACTTTTACTTATAAAAAGAGTGTTATTTTCATGAATATTGCAGAGACGACGAAAAAAGTTACTTTTTCACCGACCGAAAATCCACTATAAAAACCGACTCGGCCAGCAGCAGTTCCTCTACCAACAGTCGGACGATGACTCCAACCAATCACTGGGTGGAGTTGGATAGCAATTCGAACATGTCCAATCAACTATCATCTAATTTAACTTCATTCGAGAGAGGCAACAATTCTTGGAATTTGGGAAAACCAGTTACTCAAGGAGAAAATGAAGTAAGAGACGTAGATGCCGAAGCTGCAGCGCATCTCCTCACAAAACAAGAAAAATCGTTATGTCTTCAACTGGATCTCAAACCAACACAGTATCTTACACAGAAAGCACTCTTACTTCAGGTATTTAAAAACCTCCAACTCTTGCATTGTGCTTTTTATTGTTGGCGATTACTACATCTAGTTTATTTTTACTTTTAATTTCAGGAATATTTAAACGGTAACAAAAAATCAAATATCACTCCTCAGTCAGAACCAGAAAGTAAAATACTTCATTACCTAGTTTCTAATGGTTGGATCATTGCAAATTGACTTGTTAGTGTGAAATGCAAAATTTAGATTCTAAACTAGTTTACAAACATAATATAGTTAAATCCAGTCTATGTACAATTTTTCCAAGTTGCCAGATTGCATTGAAATTAGGTAGTTTTTATTATATAATATTGACAAATATCTTACTAATCCATTGATTCTGCTGAAAAAAGTCTGATCTTTACTTACTTTGTTTAATTATTAATAGTTCGATACAAATATTTGTGCAATAAAGTTAACTTGAGTGATTTGAGAAAAGTAATTTTAGATCTGTAATGAAGCAATTTTAAACATTTAAAATTCTTATTAAAAATAAGATCACGATTTTGAATAATCCATGTATATCTTGCTGTATTGTTCACGATAAAGTGTTGATGCAATTATTCGCTGACTTGTAACGTAAAGTAGTGACACGAGTGTAAGATACTTGCTAGAGAGAAGCATAATGGATTTGTCACGTTGTTGCCTCTTCGAAAAAAGTGCACTGATAAGTGTAGCATAGCATTGTAAATATTTATACATATTACTCGAGTCGATTGAACTGCAACTTAATTTATGCTATTTAAAAAAATTTTTTTTTACAATTAGGTTTATTTTTGTTAATCTCAGTACTCTTTATGGCGTGATGTAAAAATTTAATTTGAGTGTGAAAATACGCCAGAAGAATACAAAGGATTAATCCAACGAGTAAAGCAGCAGCTTTATCTTTCTGTAAATATAGTTGAGAAAGTGCATTGTATGAACATTACAAGGATGTGTTTTGTTTTAGGAAACAAATTATTGTATATTTGTAAATATAAGTATTTTGTATAAGTACTTTATCATGAAACGTTAAGTACGTTTTAGCTTGATCAAAATAAAAACAAAATGAAAAAAATTTTTAATTGTTGAACGTTTTTTCTAAAGTTAACGCGTGTTGTAATTTTTGAATGGGTGCTTTGCTAAAAAATGTTGATCAAAAAATTTATGCGTTAAAATCCCGGGACCAAATAGATTTTTTTTTCTCATTCACCGACTGACCGCAAGCGATTCAATAAAAATGAACAACAAAAAAAAAAAAGGTCAAAACGGACCACCTAAGCTGTGTCCAATAGATTCTCCGAACCAAATTCGCATCTCGAAGATAAAAGCCCATACAAATTCCTTTTCGTTTCCCCTCCTCCCTTCCATTCGATGTTTTTCTCTCTCTCTCTCACCTATAATCAATTTTTTTTTGAAAAATTCAATACACATACATACAGACAGTCCCTGATAATAATACACCGCGACTATTCCTTGACTCATCCTGTAAAAACAAATGTTTCAAGTACTTGCCCACAGTAAGTCAGGGACGACGATAAAAACACCGTCACCGCGGTGGATAAATTTTGCATGAATCCTTGTTTGGTACGATTCTTCCGTACTTACGCATGCAAGAGTCACGAGAGCGCAAAAAGGCCACGACGACGTTTATTAAAAAAAAAAAAAAAAAAAAAAAAGCCTATTCAGTCGTGCACGACTAGCGTAAAAAATTACTTGGCAGCATTTCTCATCCCAACGTTAGTACACCCAAGTATTACCTTCGTGTACTTTTCGAGCTCTCTATTTCCTCGATCGCACCCGCTTGATTATTCCACGCGAGTACGAACCATAACTTAAAAATCACGCGATTTTTCTGAAACGACGCGAGTGCAGCTCCCAAAGAACTTCATTGCCTATAAGTACGTGCGCGGAAATTTAAAAACATTCCTTGTAGGTATACACCTATACTTAACATTATTACAAAAGCAAGGACTACGTCATACACATATCTTATTGCACCGAACGTGATGTCGAATCACAACAAGAGCGCGGATCCCGACGACCTGGACCCGATTAAAGATGAAAAAAAAAAAAAAAAAAAAAATGGACAATAAGTTGAACAAGAAAATACGTCCAACCGTGCTACCTTATGCTTGTATAAGGAAGCGCGTGCATTATACGGGTTTTTACGCACGCGTTACATGGGTGCAACAACAACACACACATGCAGCAGTAGTTACGCAAGCAAAGCAAACGAATGTAATATTCGCCGCGGCGGGTCATCCTCCGATGCGTGATCTCAGAGTTTTGCCCGGGCAAACAGAGTCCCGGTGATGATAGTACCCAACGGCTGTGTCGGGGTTTGCGTAATCGATCGTTACTTATACTTACTACCTGTTTGGTCGAGCGAGTGGCGCGAAAAAAAAAAAAAACAACGCCAAATATCAAATCAAACAGGCTCGACTCGCCGTACGTGTATACGTATACTTGTTCATCTCCGATGTGTTTATCCGAGGCACAACTGAGAAAAGGAAAAAAGAAACGCTTGGCTCGCCGAGGAGCTGCATTTTAAGCGCACCGTATAGCCACCATCTGACGTTTTCAATCTTTCCGCTCGCGCAAGCGAGTGCGTAACTTTTTTTTTTTTTTTTTTCCTTCTTTTCTCTCTTTAGAATACATCCGAAGCGAAGGATCGAGACGATCTTTTATTTTTTCCTATGCCGAGTGAAAAAAACTTTTTTTCGTCAACCGTCTCGTTGGGTCCTCGATATACATACCCGTTCGTATATTTACACTATATATTTGTAATTAATCATCTTTTTCGTTTCTTCTTCTTTTTTTTTTTTTTTTTCGCGCAAAAACTCAAGGATTTTTTCATCCGTCATTTCACCGATTTCGAATGCACATGTAACACAGAGACAACAACACTCGACTTTTTTTGGCAACCCGGAACGTTGGTTTTTATGTCTTCTCGCCACACCAGAGTTCGGGAACGCGAAAAAAAAAAAAAAAAAAAAAANTTTTTTTTTTTTTTTTTTTTTTTTTTTTTTTTTTTTTCTCTCTTATTTTTAATTGTATCGATGATTTGAATGTCGCGCGTGGGTGGCGATTGTTTTCCATGAATATTAACGCGATTGACGCCCGTAAACAGCAACAAAATCAGCAGCCGTCCTCGAGAAACTCGTCGAGCCTCAAGTTTTTGAATAAAATCGCCGAGCAGCAAACGGACGAGAGACCCACGCCCGCGCCGCGCAAGTCGAGCCTACCCGGAACGCCGGATTCAACGCTTACGCTCGAGGTATGAACAACAAGTGTATATTATCTTATTAACATTCCGTTCATTTAAATGCAAAAGACGAAGGAAAAACAAAAAAAAATGACAAAAGAATCGCGATTGCGCACGAAACTGACAATCAGGCACCTTCAACGAATAACGGTGATATAACAATAACAACAACGATATATCGGTCATGGAGTATTTTTGAATGATCCAAGTTGAAAAAAAAAAAAAAAAAATTATCTAGTAGCAAAGGCAAAAACAAAAAAAAATAAACAATGGTCCTGAAGGGCTTACCGAAAATACCGTCCGCGCAGAAACCGGTAACACCGGCGGTGCGGACGTCGTTTTCAGGTTCGAGTGCCGTGGCGACGAATCGCACCTTGAATTCCAACGGCCTTCGAACGACGACGACGACGGCCCAGGTACACGACAACGTCAAATCCAAGAACACGACCAGTTCATCTCCCTCGCCTGCAGAGTACGTATATTAACCGAGTGCACATTAGCAACATAACCTGTACGCGATCGACGTAACTAGCAATTAAAACAATACGTTTTCAGCGACCAGCTGACCATGTGCAAGACGTGCAAGAGAAATTTCAACAGCGAGCGGATAACTCTTCACGAGAAGATTTGCGCGAAAATGGCGCAGAAGTCGAGGAAACAGTTCGACGCTACGACGCAGCGAGTCAGGGGCACGGAATTCGAGGCCTTCGTGGTGACGAAGCCGGTGAAAAAAAAGCAGGTGAGAAAGTCGAGCATTATTAATATAATGACACACCGATCCGACCTCGCGCGCTTGAAAAACGTATGTCCCCCCCCCACAGAGTAAGAAGGCAGAGGTGAAAGCATCGGCGCCAGCATCAGCAGCGTCGTCGAGCAAATCGAACTGGAGGCGTAAGCACGAGGACTTTATCAACACGATCCGCTCGGCCAAACAGATGCAGGTCCATCTGGCAGCCGGTGGAAAGTTGAGCGACCTGCCGCCCCCACCTCCCAGTGACACGAGCGATTACGTCCAGTGCCCGCACTGTTCCCGAAAGTTTGGCCCGGGAGCTGCGGAACGCCACGTGCCGATGTGCGAGGCCATGCAGCGCAACAAGGGCCCCGTCCGGCCCGGCCGACCGGCCGTGCAGCCGGCAAAGGCCGTTAAAATCAAGCGCTAGAGATAAAACTGATGCACCGAATGAATTGTAATAGCTTATATAATGAAGGACAACGCAAAATAAGGATAATGAGAATTTATAAATTATTGGTTGACGATATTATCGATTTGAAGAGGAAAAAAAAAAAAAGTATGTTACTATCGTGATTGCTCTTTTGTATATTATTTATATAAATCATTATTACGAAAAACATGGAAACACGCCGATTTTCAGTCTCAAATAAGGAAAATGAGCAGGTGCAAAAACTAAATAAAACATTTTACGTAAGTGCACAAAAAAATCAGAGAGTATAATTATATTGTAAACGATTAACGTTTACGAAGGATATGCGCATTTTATGCATTGCGAGCGTTATCGCCGGTGATCGGTATAGAGTGTTACTCTAACGATAACATAATCACATGTCGCTAGCTCTTGTGCCCTTTACGCAACTATATATGTATTCAAAATTTTAAATAATAAATAAAAGTTGAAAAAAAAGCTCTGAATCGCACCGCACTAATAAAATATCCAAGTTTTAATAGTAAAAATTCTTGTTTCATCCGTTGTGATATAATATTGGGGTGGTTTTCGATTTTTTTGGACAATGTCTACGAGGAATTTAAAGACTATATCTCTATATAGCATACAACATAATATCGATTTCATCTTAATTTTTTTGTTTGTTTATAGCTTCGGTACAACAGCTCATACATAATATACCATTAGCTACCTACTTTAGAGAAGCCAAATACTTTTTGTTTTTCTTACTTAAGCTGAGATAACAATGTCATTAATATACATGTGTACGTATATTATCATGTAACGTGCATATAAAACTGTAAATCCTACTACGTTGATACCAATATGACGTTGATTATTTACGAATCCATCGTCGCATCTTTGGGAACAAGACGTTTATGATAAATATAATTGATATAACCCACAATAATTGATAGTTTACGCTAATCAACAAATTAAGTCAAAACAACGACGATTTACTGAAAATCAATGTCGGTAAAAAATTTACCTGTAAACTGGTGGGTTTCAGACGCCTAATTTTTTTTTGTTACATGCGCATGTGTTTATACAATAAATAAGTTAACATATATTCATGAGCACAGAATATATTATATACGCGTGTATACGCGGAATTTCGCTTGTTATCGGTTTACATTTTTTGTTAATAAGATTTTATCACTGCGTAATGTACTCAACTATCGCTACGTCAACAATAAATTATTTAGTGTTAAATAACATAATACCCGTCGAATGCATCATTCAGTTATTTTATTAATTGAAAAATTATCAAAGGAGTAATTGTCAATGCCGGTCCTTTGATATCAAGTAGGTGCGTATGAGTAAGTAGTGCTTGGTGGTGTTTTATTTTCATTTTCACTCTTATAAGATAATGCTTGCAAGGAAAAACTACAACAACCCGATAAATGCCAGAGATTCTGGTAAACGCGGGTGTGTGGGGTTTAGGTGTTGTCAATTCAGTCAGTTCATTCTACAGTGTATCGCGGCCAACGCTATCTTGAGAAAACTCGTGGCTCAAAAACCCTATGGACGTTTTTTTAGTTCAAGCGACGAAGAAGAGCTCAACTCCGATTTTGCAATTTAAAATGACACGAAGAAATCTGAGTTGAGCTCTTCTTCGTCCACCAAACTTTGGCTATATCCGACGGCATCGACGAAAAAAAAGCTCAATTCAGATTTTTCATACATATATGTATGTATGTATATCATGACGTTATATTATATGCTAAATGCTGCATTTTCAGGGTGCCTGGTACATGGGAAACCTGCAGTCTGGAGAATGCCAGTCAAAGCTTCGGCGGGCGATTCAATTCAAATTGATAGAAATCAATATTTTTTTTTTCTTGCATTCCGTACAACAGACACCTTGTTTTCAAAATGAAACTAGACTCTGAAGTCGCATTTTAATGTCAGAAATTGATTTTGGTAAAAAGTTTTAAAAAATATTTTATATCTCTATGCTGCAGGTTTCCCATGTACATTGCAGGCACCCTCAAGCTCACGCCTCACGCCTCTCCCGCTTCCCCATGAGCCTCAAACAGCAGCATTGTCTCCTCACTCCCTCGAAGCTCACTAATATTGGCTGTATAGATTCGAGTGGGTTTTCACACTTTTCATTTGTTAGTTTGCAATATCGAAGCACGCAATTAGAAATTAGACATTAGGTAACCATGGCATAGAGATATAAGAATTCTTATGTCTCCATATCTCGTTGGTCGAATTGAATTTAGATTTAGCGCTATCCAGTGTTGCAAATCCTGCTGTACCGACGATTGACATGAGATAAGAGAGAGAAATTACCTCCAGTCCGAGCGAGTCGGCCAACCGTCGGTACAGCCACCAAAATTGCATTACTATATATATATATATACATACATGTGTGGGTGTGTGTATATATATTTGGAGCCGGAGCAAGGGAGCAGACGACATCAAACAGAAGCAGCAGAAAGAATCAGTGTTTGCTGCAGCTTGGCCGTGTAGCATATTATTTGTGGAGTCGAGGAGCATGCCTTAGAAAATGTTGTGACCATTTTCCGGGTTAATATTTAATAACTACCTCAAACTATAAATATGGACCAGTTGGTAATTATAATAGCGGTGGTGCACTTGCTCTACTGTCCCTTCACCAAAGTCGAAGAGAGCTTTAATCTGCAGGCCATGCACGACCTTCTTTATCACGGCTCGGATTTAAACGAGGTAAAATATCCAAGCAACTGAGTAAGTATATATTATAAGCACGAGTGTCTCTCTATCTGCTATACTGCCACTGCCTTATTTCTGTGCTAGTGTGCTTGCTTATATACTTACATTTGCATATTATGTTTTGCCAAGATTCCACTGGCTAAGTCCTATTTTTCATTTCTTCTCGCGACGCCAAATTCATTGGATGCAACGTGTCTTGTGCCTATATTTACTTGACAGCTCGTGAGAGTAGTTTGTCTTTTTAACGATGCCTGCTGTTGTAAAAAAAATGCTTTTCCGCACTCGGGTGGTTTTGGGAGGCTGGTACTTCCTCGGGCGAAAAAGCAGTTTTCCGGAACTCGTTCAAAAAGTCTCCTTTACGAACCTCGTTACGTCCCTCGCCTTCGGCTCGGGCCGCAAACCTCTCGGTTCGCAAACAGAGACTTTTCAAACTCGTAGGAAAACTATTATTTTTTTATAATTCCGATTTAACAAATTATTTTTCTTTTTTTCGTAACGTCGTCGACCAAACTTTGGTAATAAAGTTGTAACAACGTTTTGCGTAATATGATAATGATATGCTTGATGGCTCGCTCGAGGCGCGATTTCAATTAAATTTCCGAAAGTAAATATAGACAAGTTGGAGAATCACTAAATCTTTTACAATTCTAGTATGATCATCATGAGTTTCCTGGTGTTGTGCCAAGAACGTTTCTGGGACCAATAGTAATATCAAGCATTGCCTTGCCAGCTGTCGCTGCCGTTAAATATTGGGATTTGAATAAATTTTTTTCACAATACATAGGTAAGTTGTGCTTTTAATTTTTTTTTTCTTTTTTTTTTTTCTTATTTTTCATAAGAAAATTAAAAAAAAATTTTTTTCCAGTGAGAGCTGCTTTGGGCTTGACGGTAGTCTTGACTTTCAGATTATACAAAAATGCTTTGCAGACGATATTTGGTGCAAAATTTACCAAATGGTTCGTACTCATTACAGTGACTCAATATCACTTTATGTACTACTTGAGTCGACCTTTACCAAATACCATGGCTCTTCCGCTAGGTTAAATTCAATTCCCTACTTGAGTAAATTTGTCAATTTATCATTCTACAAATTGTCATCTCTTATTTTTTAGTTTTACTTGCTCTTCATGGATGGCTTAAACAAAAGCATGTTTTATTTATAATGTCATCTGGAGCAGCAATAATTATATTTAGAGCTGAAACTGCTATACTTTTAGGATTATTTTTATTATATGACATAGCTTACATGAAACTAACTGTACAAAGGTAAGAAAAGTAGCTGGTTTTTACCTTTATTATTTTTATTATTGTTTTTTATTAGTTATTTCTTGTTATTATTTCAGAGCAGTAAGGATTATTATACCAACAGGTATATTTCTCTTAGCTGTAACTATTCTAATTGATTCCTACTTTTGGAAACGAATTTTGTGGCCAGAGGGAGAAGTTTTCTACTTTAATACCATTCTCAATAAAAGTAGTGAATGGGGTGTATCCTTTGACGAAAAATTTTTTTATTTCAAGATTTTTTGTTAAAAGTGAAACATAATTTATCTTATCATGCAAAATAGACGTCTCCCTTTATGTGGTACTTTTATTCAGCTCTACCAAGAGGCATGGCGCTCTCTTATTTGCTAGTACCATTAGGAATGTTCTTAGATTCCAGAGTACGAGTTTTGACGATTCCTGGAATCGTATTTGTTGTTATCTATTCGTTTTTACCTCATAAGGAGCTGAGGTTTATCATTTATGTTTTTCCACTATTGAATGTCGGCGCAGCTGCAGCAAGTCATCGCATGTAAGATTTATTTTGATAAAAAAATTAATATTTCAACAGTAAGCTTACAATCGTATTCTTTTAGTTGGGAAAATCGAAATAAATCACTTTTGAATAATTTGATTGCTCTGATGATTGCGGGACACTTAATTTTGAATGCGTTATTTTCTACGTTCTTACTGTGCCTAGCAGGCTTGAATTATCCTGGAGGTATGGCAATAGCAAGATTGCATAGACTTGAAAAAGATTACAATGGACCAGTCCATGTTCACATAGATGTTCTGACAGCGCAGACGGGTGTTTCTAGGTTTACTCAATCAAACCCTTCATGGATGTAAGTTACATATTTGTGTGTCCTGAAAACTTTATTCATTTTTCTAAAAATAACTAAACATTCTACTTTTAGCTACTCCAAACAAGAAAATTTAACTGTATACGATCCAGAAATGCTGAAATTCACCCATTTGTTGAAGGAAGCCAGAAGTAAATATTCACCTAATATTAAAACATACTTGAAAACTCATTACATTTTAGACTCCATAGATGCCTATTCAAATATTGAATTTAATTATAATTTCGTATTACCTCCAATAAGAATAAAAACAAAACCAGCAATATTTATTCTCAAGAGGAAAGAAAATATTAAATACAAACCATCAAAAGTTAAAAAAGAGCATGAAATTGTTGACAATACAATGGAACAAAATCAAAATATTATTGATAATGAATCATCACCAATTAATATTGACAACTCTGATGATTCACAATCAACGTTGAATGACGAAGTACAAATAGGAGAAAATGTGATAGAGTCATCTAACAATGTAATTGCGGAAAGTAATGAACAAATTGCAAAAGTCACGGAAAGCAGTGATTCCATAATTTTGAAAGAACACCCAGATGTAGATATGGAAAAAATTTATGAAAATCCAGCACAGAACGGAGGAGAAGAGAGATTTCAATATTATTTGAAAATGTATAAGCAATTATTATTCAAGAATAAAATTACTTCTACAGATGATCAATATACAAGTTTTACAACTACTTCAAAATCAATCATTCAAGAACCGTTGATGGATAACGAAGGAATGAAAAACCAGCCTAGTGACAATATTAATTATGTAATCAATAGTGGTACTATTAAATCAAATGGAAATGGGGATAATCATAAAGTTATAAATAGTAACGATGAATTAAAGGCAGATTTTTTATCAAAAAAAGAATTAGATCAAGACTACACGAGAAATAATGAAAAAAATATGGATCCAAAAGTTAATAATAATGTCTCCAGTGATAATACGGGTAACCTTATTCTTCAAACTACCGTAGCTGTTGAAAATAAAAAATCTAATATAAAATATGCAGTTAGAAAAATGATGCAAGAAAAGAAAATTGATGGCAAAGGAAAGAAAAATGGAGAATCTAAAATAGAAACTGTAAAAAATGATGATGTTAATATCAAAAAAGCTAAACCATCAGAAACAAATGAATTAGAATCGAAAGATTTGAATGGAAAACAAAAAATTATAAACATTAAAGAAACAATCAGAAATATTATTGATCAATTTAAAAAATTTGAAAGCAATCTTGACCCAGAAGATGCCAATTTAATAAATGATTTGTTTGAAGACAAATCAAACGTTGAAAAAGAAAACTCAACACATGACGAGGAGTCTAAAAATTTAGATAACAAAAATTACAAAGATCCTAAAGAAAGTTTGAAAGAAATAATAAAATTATTTAACAAGGAAATAATAAAAGAAATAGCATCAGAAGAAGATACTCGTTTTGATGACATTGCAAATACATACATGGACAGACCCCTTCCTGAAACATTGATGCATTTCAGCAATGCATTACAAGAACTGGTTCAAAATAAAAAAAATTTAGTCAAAGAATCTTCAAGTGATGCCAATTTATATACCAAACAAGAACAAGTACAAAAAAAAATTAACAATAATTTTAAGGACAGTTAGATGAGTGGAAGTTTAAAAAACTTGGCTTAGTTAAGAGATCTACAAAGACTCTCGTACTGAAGAATGCAAACATCATTAATATAGGATTAAAAGTACTGTCAATATAAATTTTTTCTGTGATAACAGCATTATTTACTCAACTTTAATTGCGAGTAAATATCTACATCTAAACTGTAGTTTAGAAAAAGAATGTTATAGAATATAAATAAAATTGTAAAAATCATGAAAGCCGTTATGTGCCTTGAAATATTGTTTTTATAAAAAATCATTGTTAATAAAAAAAAAAAATTTTAAATCCTTTTAATTGCAGTTTTTATTTTAAGTATTAGTTCATTTTTTTACAAAATATTTCAATAATGAACTTATACTAATGATAAAAATTCAGTATTATTCTTTGTCCATATGATCCAGATCGTAAAGTATTTTAAAGGAATAACAAGTGCTAATTATAGTCATTATTAGTGTAAAGTTGTATAAGATTTTGCTTCTCAAGCCGTTCTTTAAAAAAACCGGCACTCCGTCGTCTTTCTAATAAAAAAAAAAAAAAGTAAAAAGTTTTTCATTCATTTAATTCATGCTATTGAACTACAGAAATAAAAATTACCGTACCTGCATTTTGGCTTGTTTGAGTTTCAGTTTTTTTACAAAATCCGGTTTCTCTTCAAATAATTCATTTTCTTTAAACAAAATACCCTTGGAATGGAAATATCTGCGGTTCCGACTACCTAAATTTGCCTAAATGAAAATAGAGACGGCGGTTAAACAAAAAAATTCAAGGGAAGTAAGATCGACAATGACATGAAAAAAAATAGAAACACTAACTTGTCGTGAAAGTAATCCAATCGTGCGCAGATGATTCATGTTTCCACGTCACTCAGTCGTCTGATTTTTTAAAACTCTTTCAAGACAACGGGCCCTAAAAATGAGAGCAACGTAACCCAACGTAACGAAAACATTGAAGGAAAAATAAAACAAACGACGATAAACAGTTGACTTCAACTAACTTCGTTAGCTTCTTTCACTCGCAATTGAAGAAGAAAAGCTGAAAATGAATAATTGTAGGGGTAAAGTGTAAAATGCCTAAATAAGTACTGCGTACTCGGATTTAAAAACAGGATTTACTTTTTTTTAAACATATTTCTGAATACGCCTGAATGTAACTGAAATAGCTATAATTATTAATCACTTATATTTTCAGAAAATTAAAGGCATATTTTAATTCTAATAAATATTATTTAGTCAGAAATATAAAATTGACGGTTTTATGAAAACTTTTTCCACCAAAAAAAAACTTAATTTTCTTAGACACGATCTAAAAAATGATTCTTTTTGTATTAACAACACATCAATATTTTTCCTGTTAGCTCATTCGTCAATGAAATCTAAAATTTCAATAATCGCGCACACGTTCCATTGAGAAATATGTATTTCGTTGAATATTTGCAAAATTACAAAAAATGGTTCATGTACAACGATACATTAATCGTGTAATTTTAAGCGCAGTAATAAATGGAGATATAAGATTTTGTTACATGTAAAGAAGATTTATCAAATATTCGTATTTTTTATTATAAAAATTCGAGTGTTGGATTGATGATAGACAAATTATTCGCGTTGGATTGATGATATAAAAAAGCTTTAGTTAGACGTAGTTTTGCCTGAAATTAATAAAGCCGGACAAGAAAAAACTGCGCAGTACTTGGGCACTTAACCCTTACTGCTACTTACTCACTCATACGCAGTTTCAATGCAGAGCGAAAAATTACATCGTAAGACAATGAAAGGCGATTAACTTTACCAATTCCGAGTAGGCTGATATAATGTAATCAAAACAAACATTATACTTACTCACTTTTTGATTTCCCGAAAAACAAGGCGCGACTTGTTGATAGCAAATGCTGCAAACCGAAATCGATTTCAACAGCAACGCTCAGTGTTACCACAAACGGGCGATTTAATTTGGCAGCAGTGCTGTGAGGCAGGGTAGCTCTGGTGGGAACAACGGGGAGAGCAGTGGGGGTGCGCCAAATCACCGCTGCTGAACTACGTTTACAATACGTTACGGCGCTGAGGTCGCGTCATCGCGTGTCGTCGAGCAAAAGAACTGACGTCACACGCCGCATATACGTGTACAAACCACCGAGGATACACTTGCGTGTATACATATATATACACACATACAGCGTAATATATAATATCGTACGTGCGCTGAACTTGTGTGCATCATTTCTCTTTTTCTCGCAAGTCGCAAGAGTTTAATATGGGCGCCGTCTGGAAGAGAATAGCATCGGGCTGGCAGCTTGTTCGCTGCATCAGCTAAATCTGGTGGCGCGGCCGCGGCGTCGAGGCAGGGCAATAAGGTCGCCGTCGCCACCGCCGTCGCCACCGCCCATATCAACAATTCGCTTGCTGCTGCTGAGTCCGTTCAGGGTGGCCGAGGGGGAGGAGAAGGAGGAGGCGGCCGAGCAGAGCAGCAGCGCGCCGGGGACAAAGATGGCGGGTACGTTTTACACACCACACTCTGGGCTCTCTTTCCTCATCTCCGTACATATGCATTTGTAACTGGCATGATACCGCGATTTCGCCCCAGTTCCTCCTTGCGCATCAAAAACTCCGTTGGAGACGCTTTCTTTTCATCGTCTCGCTCTCATCGTTTCAGATTTGTACGCCAAGTACAACTGCACCTACTGCCAGGAGGACATATCTGGCCTCCGAGTCAAATGCGTCGAGTGCACGGACTTCGACCTCTGTCTGCAGGTGAGGCGAGATGGAAGGGAGACAGAGACAGACGATTTTACGCCTATAGTAAACTATACGTATATACATATACACCTATGTCTACTCACGTACTCACCCATTCGCTCCACTCATCGATGTCTCGATCTCATTTTTCTCCTCCGTCGTGAGACTAAATATATATAGTTGCGCTATCGCGACTCTCCCTCGATGCCCCCCCTCAACCGATCCCCACCTTCTGAGCCTGCCCCTCGTGTCGTCCGCGAACACGCTGTTCTAACGCACTGCATTTAAATACAACAGAAACGGTAATGGCGCCAAAACTCTGCAACGTACCTATAACTTGTAACGAGTGCATGAATACCACCATGAATCCCTATGGAAAAGTACATTTTCTATTCTCTAATTGATCAATAATCGGTTAATTTTTTATTTGTCATTATCTCTTTCTCAATTCATTTGTTTTCAACAGTGCTTCTCGGCTGGTGCTGAGATAGGGCAGCACAAAAATGACCATTCCTATCAATTCATGGTAAATATCATTCTAGCCGACGTTTTTTTTGTTAATCAAATTATTATTATTATTATTTTTTTTTTTACCTTAAACCGTGTTATTTCCCGTGTTGAAGGATTCTGGCACNAAAAATTTATATTTTTTATTGTACTTAATAAATATTTTGTTGTTGTTTTTGTCTACTAATTTATGTTTTTCAACTCTGCGGCGGGTATAAAATTTATGGTCGGAGCCATTGTGCATGTATATATATACTATGAACATGGGATGCGCGTGTTTTATGGGATGGCCGTGCCGAGATACGGGGCGCCTCAATTAATGTTTAACACGAAACGAATTTTCGTCTTTATCTCAGTCTTTCCCCTTTAGCAGACATGAGGAACACCGTGGCTGTTATTCTTGTTTTTGGCATCGTCGCCTACGCGGTCGACGCCTACATGACCAAATTCGATAACATCAACGTCGACCAGATCCTACGTAATGAACGTCTGCTCAATCCCTACATCGACTGTCTACTCCGGGACGTTAAGTGCACTGCCGAAGGCAAAGAGTTGAAGCGTAAGTCGTGCCATTATTTTTTACCAAAATTACCGATTTTTTTTTTAAATATAATAATTGTTTCGCTTCGTGATTATTTCAACGAATTTTCACAATCAGTATTTTTTCAACTTCAACTTTTATTAACATACTGTGTGATTTAATGTATATGTACTGTTGATTTAAAAAAATAATCCTATTGAATGCTACGATCGCAAAAGAGAGCATACGAGTGATCACCTTACGCACACATAGTAATACAGTGTAAGGAACTTTAATCTTAAATTTTCTGTAAATAAATCACACTAATGATTGTTTGCAGTAAAAGAAAGTCAAGAAAGTGTGATTTTTAAAAAAATAATTTTCAGTAACAGCTTTGAGATTTATGCTATTTATTATTTAAGAGTCCAAATTTAGGACATAAAAATTATTTTGCTTATTATTTAATAGTCAATTAAAAAAAAGTGCGAATTTAATTTTGTTAAGCCATTCTATTAGCAGCAGCTACTTAACTCTTACGCAAGCTTCGCAATAGTAAGAGAACGATAATTAAGGATGCATCTTTTTTTCATCGAAAGGAAAATCTTTCTCTTTTTACATCGGTTGTAAAAGGTTGAATCTGTTAACAAAATACTCTTTTAGTTACACAACTATCAGTAATATTTGACTTTTGTAGACCTTTTTAACTTATCTTTAGAAATAGGAGTGTTTACTTGAGAAAAAAAAAAAAAAAAAAGAAAAAATGTAAGATAGCACTATACGGTCATCCGGAAATTGACGTGAATCTTCTTAAATGTACTTATATAGGCTTGCTGCCCGAAGTCTTCACGACCAACTGCTTGAAATGCAACGATAAGCAAAAGACCGATGCCGAAAAGGTGGTATCTTACCTGGCCAAAAGCAAGCCTCAGGTCTTGAACGAGGTATTGAAGAGATACGACAAGGACAACGTCTTCAGAACCCAGTATGCCGAAAGTGCCAAGAGACTCGGGGTTGCCATCTAAACTCAACTTGTAACCGTGTTATTCTTTAGTTTGCTAAAAAATCATTCCAAAAATGCCATAAGGGTTTTCATTACTTTTTACCGTTTTTTTTTATTCGTTTTATTTTTCTCCGACATAAATTTTTGATACCAATCGCCTAATTGATGCGTAAACCAGCTTTCATAATTATTTAAAAAAATCAATAAAAAAAAATGCATTAAAAATAAAACCTTGTACATTTTTGACTCACCACACAATCGTCAACTGTTTCATAGTCGGTAAGTTAACAGAAGCAAAAGTTTTGATCATAGATATGTGTATTCGCGCCAATAAAGAAGCACTTCGAAACAATGTCCAACCAATTGCATCAGGAAAGCAATCCCCCGAAAAAAGAGCACGTCCTCGAGCGTTACCACGACACGATAGCCCAGTACTATCGGTCCAAGTGTCCCTCCTTGTACCGCATAATCAACGACCCGGCCGGACAACACGAGCGTACTCGCAAATTCCTGAGGTTCGGGCTCGGCTTCACCCTGGGACTTTTACTGTACTTCTTCGTGATCTCGGATCTACAGCTGAACGCACTCGTCAGCAGAATATGCGGCGCCGCCTTGATCGCCCTCCTGTCCCTGGGCTGCGCGTACTCGTTGCGAGTGAGACTTGATTGTTTTTAACCTTCGCTGCGCTTTAACACACAAACATTTCGCACAATAGATGCGTTGCGCCACATTACATACACACATCGCTCGATTCATTTCTCGAACGTGGGAAACATGTTTTTTTTTTTTTTTATATATATTATACCCACGTATAAATATATAATTATGTATGCGAATCTCGCCGATCGTATGGTACACATGTGCAGTTTCGGTGCATCTGCCTGCTGACGATACCAGGGTTGTTCGGCCGAGCCGGCCGGGGCGTGCTGAAAGCCCTGATCCTCGGCTACGTGATTGCCGGGCCCGTGTTGAACCTGAGCACCAACGCCAAGGAGGTGGTGCGGAGTTTCGCGTGCACGGGCCAACTGGTCGGCAACATGACCAAGGCCAAGTACGACCTCATGCTCGCGCCCTTCCGACAGGTACACACGACCCCTGTAAACGAAAGTATGGTTGCTTGTGTAGGAGCGCCCCGTCAAAAGTATAAATATGTGTTGCGTGTACGTGTATATATAGGCCATGAAAAACTTGAACGACAGCGCGGACGAGATAAGGCGGACGGTGGGCTCGATGGACGAGCTGATACGGCCGATCGCCCGGGAGATCGAGGCCGAGGAAGACGAGGTGGAGTTCGAGGACCCTGGGGGTGGGACCGATCTACCGGAGGAAGAAGAGTCGAGCGGCTACGACGAGGAGGAGGCGAGCGGCGATTACACGGGGGAGGAAGAACCGAGCGGTGACTCGGAGGAACCACCCCCGTTACCGCGGAAGCGACGCGACGGTGATAAAACGGATGGCAAAAGCAGAGCCGCCGCCGAGTACGAGAAGGGCTACCTAAGGAAAATATCGTCCCGGTGCAAGAAACAGCTAAACCGCGGCTCCGAGACGTGCAGGTGCACGAGGCTGTTTTTTCCCTTTTCCTTCGTCACCTATAACAACCTCCTACTTTGTCCCTGTGATCATGATGACGACGACGACGACGACGGTTGTGATGTTAGGTACATAATATATAGGATGGGTGCATAGAAACTGATGCTCGCTAACCCCCATTGTCGGCTTGTCACGAGCGCACAATGGCCCGCAAAGCGCATCATCCCCCTCGCGCGCGGCAATAATTAATGACCTGCTAACTCGAGCCGGTCCCTTTGTGGCTCCCTACTGTCGTCGCTGTCTTTCCCATTATATTTTCTATTATATATCCCTACCTATGCTTGTTCTCCCCCTCTATATCTTCGTACCTTTTTTGTCGTTCTCTGTGCTTATATATATATATACGTTATATTATACACATACGCACAGGGAAACATTCAAAAACGCGTACAATCGGTGCTACAAGAGCGTCACGTGGGTGGCCGGATGGATGCTCTGTTGGCCTATGAAGCTAAACTTTGCCTGTAATTTGGTCGAGACCTTGGGCGGCAACAAAGTCTGCGATCCCGAGGGCAAGGTCGACGTCGGCTTCGGCGAAGGATACGCAACCCTCAAAGGTTATTCATTACATACATGCAGACACTGCATAACGCGCATTACGGACCATCATTAAGTATACATATATGTATATGTAATGTTATACTCGGAATCGGCACGTTGTGCAGAGTGACAGGTTGTACGTGGATGCCAATGCATATAGGTATATTGTATATTGCAGAGACCCGGGACAAGTTGAACGAGAGCTTGTCGGATGCGCGGATCGAGTACAAGATAGACACGAGGGCGATCGCCCAGTCGGAGGTGAAGGACATGGGTCGCGCGGCGGCCGGTGTCATGCGAGACTTTGAGACGCGGAGGCGCTTCGTCGAAGGCGTCGTCACGTTCGTCAAGCGTTGCCTGTCGCTCGTATTTTTGAAAATCGTGTACAGCGCCACCGAGTATCACTCCAAGTACTTGACGGACGTCGAGCACGACAACGTCTACGTGACGAGTTACTTCCGGCGCGTGGACGCGCGCAGGCGAGCCAGGGGCGCCCCGACGCTGCTGCCCCTCAAGAAACTCGAGAGGACCAAGCTGCTCGATCCCTACACCCTCCGGCAGACCAGGGCCGAAAAGAGACACCTGTACGGCCAAACGGCCAGGCTCATCCTCGAGGTAGTCACGGTTTCGACCTTTGTTTTGCTCGACAAGCTGCTGTTCGAGCTCCTCGACGTCATCCGCAGACACGCGCGGCTCGAAATCACCCAGGTGAGTTGTTGCTCCACGGTGGCCCTTTCACGATTACAATCGCGTATTTGTACTTAATCATTACTCTAAAACAAACAAAAAAACAAAAAAATCCAACTGTGCCGTACAGTGAGAAATATTTATCATTGGAAAAAAAAAAAAGTGCACTTCTAGAATCAATAAAGCGTAAAGTCGCAATGAAAAAACAAAAACAGTTTCCATCCCTCGTGGCAGACGGGCCGACACGACATGTCGCTGGAGATCCAGGGCCGTGGCCTCGTGGCCAAACTGGTCCGCAGTCTGGTGCGCGGCTTCAACCGCAAGCACCGGATCTCCCAGCTGCTGACCAACGAAGCTTGCCTACCGCGGCCCAGTCGCGTGCCGAGCTCCATCCTCCTCGTCATCTACGGCGGCTACCTCCTCGTCTGGCTACTGCTGCTCCTCCAGGCCTACGGCCAACGGCTACGCCGAGTGATAGCTGGCTTCTTCTACCACAGGCGCGAGAAACGGCGCGTCCTCCACCTGTACAACGAGAGCCTACGCCGCAGACGGGGCTTCCTGCGCTACGCCCGGTCCCGAGCGGCCCAGGCAGCCCGAGGCAGACTCCTCGCCCCGGAGGCCCGTTTCTGGCTGGAGCTGCGCGAGAACCGACCACGGCTCTGGACCTGGCTGCGCCGGCTCGGCTTGGCCCGGCTCGACTGCGTCGTCTGCGGCGACCCGGAGCCCCGCCGTGGCCAGCACCACACGTGCCGGGGATCCAGCTGCTTGGCTGCCTACTGCGAGGACTGCTGGAAAGATCTCGGGCGTAGCTGTTGGGCCACGGGTTGCGCACCGGGGGCACCCAGTGGCGGGGATGACGACGATTACGACGACGACTAGTAATAACGTCACGCGATGCCACGGTATATAAGACCCGTGGGAGGGTGCACGCGCGACAGAGCGAGGATGAACGCGTACCTGGTTCTGGCGTCGGTGGTGTGGGTGTCGGTCCTCGGCGGCGAGGAGGTCCGCTACACGACCAAGTACGACAACGTGGACATTGAGTCGGTGATCGGGAACGAGAGGCTCCTCGCCGGCTACGTGGGGTGCCTCCTGGAGACGAAGCCTTGCTCGCCCGACGCTGCCGAGCTCAAACGTTAGTATACACACACACACACCCTGCATGCGTACGCGCTCATTACCCCTAAATGTACATATATATATATGTATATTCACTGCTTTTTCTTTCCCTTTTTTTTCGTTTTATCGTAATAACCCTGATGTCTCTCTCTCTCTATCCCCCTTCATTTGGCCGAGATGTGTATATTAGGCGTGTACGGACTTTGGGCGCGCGCCCGTGCACACGTATAGCTTCCGAGAAAGAGATATTTTACGATGGGAAAAAAAGAAAAGGGAGCCGAAAAGGAAAAAAAAAAAAAGGGAACCATTCCGAGATAATCTACCCGCTACTCAAAATCCGAAGCCCATAATCATAAGTTACAATTTGACCACGCTTGTCGTGTAACGCGAGCCCTCTCTCTCTCTCCCCCCCTTCCCTTTCCCCCGAAATTCCCGTAATTAAATCCATTAGGGGGAGGGGGTGAATATCTTCATAATTTACTTTTAATTACTTACTTACTCGGCGCCAATAAATTTTGAGGGATAAAACAAAAAAGGTTTTTTTTTTTTCGACTCGATTTTAATTTACATATTATTCCTGCAGCGAGATCCCAAGTTGCTATTTTTGGTACCGGGAGTACAATCGATTTCGTTTCTCGTTTGATAAATACATCCATCCCTCTTGCATATACCATATACTAACGTTATTTAACTCTTTTGTGCGTAATGAACGTCCGCTTGTTTAGATGATAATTTATAATTTTGAAACGTAAAATCAAAAGGTTGTTTGTATTCGTTGATGGAAAAAGAGGAAAAAAAAAAATTCGAGGAACAATCCATTTAATAACACGAAATTACCTCGTTCTCGTGAAAAAAAAAAAAAAAATCTGCAGAAATGATTGCTCAATACGAAAGTAACGAGCAAAAAATCTCTGGTAATGATATCCGAGTCCGTAAATGGGGGGGGGGGATAGAAGTGAAGCATCAGCGTACACGAGTTCAACGACAGTATATATAAGGCGTACCTGTAAAAGTTAGCGGTCGTGTGCGAGTAATTGAAAGAATCGCTTGCGCAACCGATCGCGTCGATGTACACGGTCGTATAAAAAGAAACGAGCGGGAGCGCCTTCGATTGAAAAGTCGAGTGATTCAGCGATAAAAAAAAAAGGGAAAAAAATCAAGCACAACAGCATTGGCAGCGAAACAATCGAATCAAATAGCCTTTTGATTATTATTATTATTATTATTTTCTCTTTGATATAACATTTGCAGGTAATCTACCGGACGCCCTGGCGACCAACTGCTCGCGCTGCAGCTCGGCCCAGAAGACGATCTCGGAACGCTTGACCCACCACCTTATCGATAACAAACCGGACGAATGGAGCCTCCTCGAGCAGAGGTACGACCCTACGGGGGCGTATCGAGAGCGCTACCTCGGCATCAGTACCATCAAAGAGAAGGACCAAGAGGAGGAGTAGTAGTAGGAAACGTTGCTGTAAAATACATCATATATATGTAGGTAGTAGTTGTCAAGTAGCACATACCACAGGGTAATATATAATATAGCGATGCATTACACAAGTGTAAAACGCCTGCACACCTGCAGTCCCGTACAACGATGCTAAGGCAGGTTCCTGCAGAGATCGGCAAGCTCTCTTTTATTTGCGATTCAATTTCTTGTCGAGTGTCCTGTACTAGCTTGAACAACAACAAACACATGACATGTATACGCGAATAAAGAGAGAAACAATGCCTTTATGTACAAACGAGACAGAAGCGAAGTGCAGTTCCTTCTCCCTTTCAGCTTCTTCATTGGTATGGATCGGTATAGAGGCTTGCAGTCATATATAATATATACCCATGTACATACAAACAAGAAGAGCGCGTTTCGTGGGTGGACGCGAGTGACACACGAGTGGGTGGACCTGCGCCTCCGCTGGCTTTATCAAAACGGCCTGTATGGCAAGTGGGTGTATATATATATATATAGACACGCATCGTGGGCCGTTTCCTGTTTCCGCTCTTTGGGTCGAGGAGCGCGCGGCAGGTATTATCCCAAACAAACGAGGGGTAAGCTACGAGCTATTAAGCCAAGCTCAGCCGAGAGAAAAGGACCGTGCCGCCGAGGGGGCTAAAAAGTTGAATATGTATGTATAGACGTACATGCATATATGTTTATTGTACATGAAGGGGACCGATAGTTAGATGTGGGCTAGCTTATGTAGGGTCTTTTGTACGTCTCTGTACACACGTAGGAGGGAGGAGAGAGAGCTGCCTGTCGCCCGAGCTCCGTCACGACTTGGGTGGTCTCCGCCGCGGAGCCAGTCGTCCGCTCTCTCTCTCTCTCTCTCTCTCTGTGTTTATGGTCCAGCACTGCAGCAGATATATCTGTACTGCTAGCTCGCGACTCGCGTATACGCTCCCCTCCCTCGGAAGTCCTACTGGGTGGTCCCCCGCGCTCTCGAGACCGCTGCCTCCTCCGCCCTTTTGCCCCTGTCGTCATCGTCATCATCATCATCGTCGTCGTCATTGTTGCCGTCATCATCGGCTGATTGAGTGAACATTCGACTCGCTACCTTACCTACCGGCATCAACCGATCGACCGCTGCCGATCGATATATGCCTCTACGTGTCTATTTGAACATTATAACTTTTATTGCAACCTGCACTGTCATCGGCCTTATACACTTTTAAATGTGTGCATGTCGCGTTATTCATATATTTTAAACATATTATAGTACTTACAGTGGTGTATACTTTAATAAAAAAAAAAAATAAAAAAAGGAGGAAAAAAAGACGATTAAACGAGGAGGGCACTTGAGCGACCATAATCCGGCGTTGGGGGCACTGTAAGCCCGGTGCCTGCGCACCTTCTGGGTCGGTAGGTTTATGCCTACTACCTGATGCATCCCCGCGATTCCCGGTGCCTCGTCTCTCGCGGACGACTCTGTCTCTCGCTCTTGTCGGTCAGGTAGAGCGAAAGAGTATACGAGAGAGAGGAACAAAACGGGGGAGAGACCGAAAGAGAGGAAGGCACGGGGTAGCTGAGCGGCGCCGGGGAGAGAGACCACCCAGGCCGCGGCAGCCAGTCCGGCGCTCTCTCTCTCTCTCTCTCTCTCTTTCTGCAGCAGCGCTTCGTCGGAGCCGCCGAGCCAGGCGAATAGAGATTCGCGACCACCCAACTTCACGCCGCGGAGTTGCTCCTCTCTCTCTCTCTCTTTTTACACGGCTAACAATAACTGTAATAATTATACAACAAATAGTATAACCGGCCCAGGAGAGGCCGGATTAATATTTCCGAAAAAGAGAGCGCGGGCGGGGTAGGTTTTTGAGTGTATACGAATACAACCCACTCTCCCTCTTTCTGGGCAAGTAACCCGGAGAAAATCGGTAGGAGGTTGATGCGTGTGTGTTTGGTTTCGGTTGGCCGGTCATCAGAGAGAGAGAGAGAGAGATGGAAAGGAGAGCGAGAAAACGGCCTGGGTGGGCCAGCGCCACGCCACTTGGGTGGTCCTCCTCCTCGATCTACTAATATACCTACGCCGTGTACGGTTCACGAGAGTTTCCTCGGGGACCCGCCGATGATATACGGCTGTTTTCTAGCCCCCGGGCCGGCCCTCGAAATTAAGACGCACAGCGGCCCATCGGTAGCATATAGTAAAATACCTGGCTGGCCGGCATCGTCGTTGTATCTCAGATTCGAGGGCCGGGCCCGGCTGATGATGGGGCCCCGGTCGCACGTGCACGCATCGATTATTATTTGACGCTCTGGCCCGAAAAATCGGCACGCCTCCAACAACCTGTATCCACCATATACATTATATTATATACACATCAGCCATAAACGCGTGTGCACCAACGAAATCGGATACGCCGCCGTGATGAAATTGCAGTAGGCACACATAATAATATATATATATAGGAACAAATCGGGACTGCTCGCTTACGCAAGCGAGCTAGTGTATATAGGTATTAGGTGTACCTGCTACCCTTATATATATACACGTACACCAACCTGCCTGCCTGCCTGCCTCCCTCTGTTTATGGACAAGTAGTTCCAAGAGAGAGATGGAGCTCACTTTTTCTTTTGTTATAGGCAAAGGTACGCGCGTCTATAAGCTATAATATACACTTGCAAGTATGGGGCGTTTAGCATCAGGGACGGGGACCACCCAATACGAAAAAGGAAGGCCGAGCCGGGCCCTTTCAGACAAATATACATGTATACATGTATAATACACGGGTCTATCTGACCGGGGTACACTTACAGCACATAAACAGCCGTTTCTTTGCACTCTCTGCTCTCTGGGCACACAGTGCGTGCGGTGTACCTATACGGACACCATACACCATAAAGTACCCTCGCTCCTTCGTGCATCATCAAGCTCTTTGCTCTCCTGGCGTGCGCGCCGCCGAGGGAGTATAACGCGCGGGCTTCTTTCTATTTTCACGCGTCACAAATCGTCTCGGGGAGCTCTCTTTCCTTGGGTTGTATATCATACGTATACGTGTATTTGTACGTACAACGTTGGCCCGGAGAGAGAGAGAGAGAGAACGCGCTGGGTGGTCCCCGTCCGCGCGCTAAGCCGACTCTCCCTCCTGCTGCCTGCAGCTCACGTCCTCCTCTTGTCGTTGTCGTCGTCCTACGTAAAGTCGCCGTGTAGGAGCCAGCCGCACCTCGCTCGCTCGGGGGAGCGTCTTATCAAGAAACGTCCCAATCGTGGGGCCCCACATGCGCGCACTCCAACAACAACACCCTTCTTCTTCTTCTTCCCTTGCTGCGGCTAATCGGCTCTTCTTCCCTCGAGTCTCTTGCGGGTATATAATATATACACCACGCATACCGGAAAAGCTCTGGAATTTGCTCGGCTACATTTTTTTTTTTTTTTTTTCCCTTTTTGTTTTTGACAAGTAGGGCTCGGCCTTAACAGCGCGCACGGCCGCTCCTCCCCTTCTTTCATCCTTTTGCTGCCGCATGCCTATGGCCTGCATGCACATACTGTTGCAGCATCCTTCGAGGTCGCCCATCCTCTCGGCTGTGTGCGTGCAGTGCTGTCTTTGCCAACTCTTCTCTCTCTCTCTCTCTCTCTCTCTTTCGTTCAGCGAATTCAGCTCTCCCGCGCGCACTTACTTTCTTTTTCATTCTACTCGAATGAATGTGTGTATATTTAGTTGTGTGTTTTCCTCGGGTACACGTTTCACGTACATATTTCAACAAACACTGCATGTGGGTACTCGTATACATGATGTTTATACAACAGCCTCCGGCATTCCGCAAAAATAAAAGCTCCTCTGGGTAAAATGGCTTTTTTTTTTTTGGTATTGGCTCAGTCATCATTGTACGATCAATCATTATAAGCCACATCGTATGGGTTGGTTGGCTAAGGGGGAACGGAAAAAAAAAAAAAAAAAAAAAGCAAAAAAATTCAATCCCTTTACACTACTGTTTGAAAAAAAAAAGTTCGACCTGTCGACTTTTTCACGGTTAGTGCCCAGGAACGCGGACAATGCCTAAATTAAAAGGAATGAAAAAAAGGTGACTATACTTGGTATCGTCGAGGTACGTGTGCAGTGGGCATTTAAATTTAAAAAGAATTCACGGTAGTTATACATATGGATATACCTCTACCTGTCGAAAGTAGTTTTTTTTTTTTTTTTTTTTTCCAAGACATTGAACACTTTGTTTGGTAAAACTGATGCTAGAGTTGAAGAAAACAATTTGTAAAGATCGAACTTTTGCATCCAGCAATTTCAACCACTTCTACAGAAAGGAGGAAGGGGGGGGGGAAAGTTTAAGTATATGATATTATAAAATGAAGCTCCTATAAAATTAAAAACATTAAGCGTCTCGTTTTACTATTTTATCCTGCTCGTTTCCCTATTTAATATGCAATTTCGGAATCCTGTAATGGGCAGCGAGATGCAAAGGAAATGGAGAAAAAAAAATTTAATCTCCCTCTCTTTCGAGTAGGACGCACGCACAGGAGGACGGAGCGCATCTTGCCAACCGACCGTTATTAATATAATGCGATGCAAAAAAAAAGAAAAAATAACAGAGTAGGAGGAAAAAAGCTTAGAGCGGTGGAAGCTAAAGTAATCGGTACACGGCTTAAAACAATAATAGTTATCAAAAGCTAAAAGGCTATCAGGTTGGGGGCTCACTTTCCCATTGAGTAGGCGGCATCTGTAAAAACTATAAAGTTAAATAAGAGTCGCGTAAAAGCTGCAGTGCGCATAAGTATCATACAATACTGACATCCACGGTGCATAATATTATGTTGTTGGTGGGTGCTTACGTACATCCGTAAGCAACGGACCCATACCGATCAACCGATCTTTCATAAAGGAAGCACATGCTTATAATACATGCTGTATGCGCTCATATATGCACTTATGCTGCATCAAGTATACTCGCGTTTTCATTATATCCGAGAGAAAGGGTATATGGGTACCTACTTGGATATATATACCAGCAGCA